TTCCCAAGCTACACTGTAGCTCAAAATGCCCACAACTTCTGAGCAGACATCACTCACCATGGTGACACAGGGACATTAGGGTCCCTGAGAGTGGGGCCTGGAGGTGGGACAGGGAGATGCAGGCTCATGTCATCGTAGTGTGAGAAAGCCCACTGGGGAGAAGTCAGGTGGTGCCCCAGGGACAGAGCCAGGGTTGGCACCTGCGCACTTGGCTGCCTCAGAACCGCAAAACAGCGGGGCGGCACCTTGGAGGGCTAGGAGGTCAGCCAGTCTGCCCCCGGGCCTGGAAAGCCACCAAAGCTGCACTGGGTGCTGGAAGGAAAAGAGAAAAATCCAAATTGCAGCAAACGCAGCCTGTCCTGCCCTTAAGTGCATGGCAGCAGCATGGAAGCAGCTAGTTGGGTGCTGCGGTGCCACTGAGCAGGGAGACCCGGGGCCAGGGGCCTGAGTGGGGGCTGAGCCTTCTCTGTGGCCAGGAGCAGCATCACTGCACTCTGTCAGCTTCTCCCTGATTCTCCCCAAACGCCAGGCTTTGGGGGCTGGGTGGGAGAGCATCACAGCGCTCTGCAAGGAGGGAGGCTGATTCCTGCTAAGACAGTTTGGCAGGGCTTCGAGAAGCAGCCCCTGAAAGCCCTGCTACTGACATGACACATCAAAGCTGGTGTGGAGACAGCACAGTGGTGGGGAGTGGCGGGGGGCGCTCAGGAGTAGCTGCGCTCAAAGCCGCCGGCCTATCCCCTGCTGCGCAGGCTGCAGGGGGCGCTGTGTCCCACTGAGACTGGCCGCCTTTCAGCTGGTGCTCTTTGACTGGCTGGCACCCTCTGTGACCTGGTTGGCACCCTCCTCTGCGTCCTGTACCTGTTTGAACACTGCCTCCTGAATGGGTGTTGTCAGGGAGGGCAGAGGAATCTGGGAAAAACAGCCCCAGGATGGATACTGGCTGTGCCTGGGGTTGGGAGAGGACCTGAGGGGCTGGGAAAGGATGAAAGGGGATGGGAGGGGAGAGGATGAGACGGAGGGGAGATGCAGAGGGAAGGGACAGTGCTGCTTCCTGCCCACTGCCTCCCTTGCCAGCCTGGGGAAGCTCCCCAGGAGACTTGGGGGAAACGGGCACTGGCGGAAGGACACCCTCCCTCTCTAGCAGCTGTCCCCAGACCCCGGGGCCCCGTGTGGGTGGGCTCATGCCAGTGGTTCTCCCGGTGTGATGCCCTGACCAGCAGCATCCGTGTCACTTGAAAACTTGCTACAAATGCACATTCTCAGCTCTATCCCAGAGCTACCGAATCAGAGCTCCCGGGGTGGGGCCCAGCAATTTGTGTTTCCAGAAGCTTTGCCAGCATTCTGTTGCACAATCAAGCTGAGAACCACTGGCTTAGGGAAGAAGGGTGGGTGTAGGGGGCGATAGGATAAGGACACAGGGCTGTGTCAGCAGATGTTGGAGCCAGGGACTGGATGCTGGCTCGCCTCCTTCTTGCCTCTGTGGTCTCCTTTTTTCTCTGTGCACCATCCATTCGTTCTGTCTCCCTCTTGCTCTCGGTCTTGACTTTGGCTGTCTACCTCGTAGAAACATGGTGGCCCCATGACTTTCAAGCGAACACATTCATCCAGTTCCCAGCAGAGGTGCCCCTCCCTCATTCTCTCACAGTCTGCCCTTTTTTCTTCCCATTCCCCATCCCTGGAAAAGCCAGTCTGCGGCTGGGTCTGGCTTCTCTCTTTCCCTTTGTGCTGGTTTCATTCCATTCCACGCCCATCATGCCCGTGAAGTGGCTGCTGCAGCTCCTGCTCTTACATTTTCTCAGCTTCTGATCTGGTGGAAAGCAGGGGTTCTTGCCCCTAATGATTGCACTGATGTCCTGGGCCTGACTTTCATTGGCTGGGACTGGGTCCCAGGCAGCCTCTCAATCAATCACAGTGGCCAGGAGTGGAGTATGCGGATTGGCTTGGGCCAGTCAGGGCCCTCCTCTGGATCTGAGGATGGACTTGAGCACACCCAGACCATACAGGCAGAAGGGCAGGAGGGTGACTCCTCTTTGGGACTCCTCTTTGGGAGCCTGTGTTACTGTAAGTGGAGTGTAGATAGCACACAGTTGTTACACAAAGCGAAGAATGGAATGCTTGGCCCAGTGCCTGGCACTAGCATGTTCTCAACAAGCACTAGCCGAAGTGATTTGTGATTGCTACTTGTTGAATGAATTAAGTTTCATTAGTTCATCAGTCAGCAGGGCTTCCTGTATCCTTGACACCATTTGGTGCTGGGGCAGTCGTCTGCTGGTCAATATTTAACAACCAGCGCTGGGGGCAGGATGGGGAGTCCTTATTGTAGCCTCTGCCATTTCTATGGTGTCGACACTCCCACTGTGGCCAATTTTGTTACCAACATGAGGTCACTGACCATGGACTTGGGAAGAGATGGACATCGAGGGTGCTCAGGGGGCAGTGATTGCCACAGTGCTGAGCCCTTGCTGAGGGCCAGCAATGCCCCACGCTTGTCACATGTATCATTTCATTTAACCGCTACAGAAACTCTTTGAAACATGTTATCTTTGGCCCATTTACAAATGAGGAAACTGAGGCTTAGAGCACTAAAGCCACTCATCCAGGTCACTCAGTGGGCAGCCAGGGTGCAGACCACAAGCAGCTGAGTCCCCAGAGGACCCCCCTGGGGCCAGATTTCCCCCACTTCCACCCGGTTCTCCTCCTGAAGCCGGCATTAACTTCCCCCACTCAGCATTAACTTCCCCCAATCAGGATCCCATGCCCGCCCTCCCTGCTCTCCCTCCAGGGCCTGTCTCCCCTCCCCCCACCTCCCATCCCCACCATAAGCCAGTTACCCTGAATGCCTGGGTTCCTGAGGACATCCCCTCCCTTTACCCTCATATGCCCAGGTCCAGCCTGCTCTTGTCAGGAACCCATTCAAATAGCCCAAGGAAAAAGCAGGCAGGAGGCTGCCTCATGAGAATGCAGGAGAGCATCTGAATGTGTAGGAACTGAGCCCCTGCAGGGACTGTCCGCCCCACCCAGCTGCCGTCTCTCCAGGTCCTTCCTGTCAGTTGTTCAGTGTTTGGGCTGACCTAAGCCAGTTCACTGAGCACAGACAATATTAAATTTGGGGTAGAAAAATGGCAAACCTCACTAGTTAGAGGTGGTTGAGGGCTATCCATTCTCCCCACCCTCACCACCAGGACATAATAGAGCAAAGCCTGGACACGCTCTGCCATGCACAGGGCCCTTAGGAAAATACCCTTGCGAGTCAGCAGGCCCCAGCGGGTTCACGCAGCCTGCTGGAGTGGCTCTGTGATGGCCTAGCTCTGCCCCCTTAGGTGCGTCACCCCGAGCCTGGGGGTCTCGAGCCTCAGGGTCTGGTGGTCACCCCGAGCCCTCACAAACGTTGGTTCTAAATATAAAGATCTAGATGTTTGTCTAGCTCACTGGAATGTTGCCAGGGTCACCACCAGCCCCAGGACACTGAGAGATTAGGAACAGGTGCTCATCCACCTGGGCTGCCTGGCCCCACGTCAGCACCTTCCCGCTTAGACAAAGGAGTGTAAGGTGGATTTCCCCTGCCCTCACCCCCTCAGCTGGGCACTTTTGTGTGAACCCAACTGCACACCTGGGCAGCCAGCTGTGGCCGAGGGCTATGGCCAGCCCCAGACAGAAGCCCCTCCTTGCCATTCCTGGGAGGCTGGTTTTGCCCTGATGTTGAGATGTGTGGTTTGGGGCTGGCCTGGGAGTCTCCCGTGGCAGAATGTTTGGGGGACTGGGAAGGACTCTCAGCTCTCAGTGACCCCAGGGCAAGGGGACTCTTGGGAGAGGGTTTTCCGGGGGCCTTGGCCCTGGGGCGTTTGAGGCTTTGTACGTTAGATCAAACTTGATTATAAAAAGTGGAGTATGGATGCTGGTCAGAAAGTTCAGAAGAGAGAAGGCAGAAGGAAGGCAGCCTCCAGCTGCCTCCCCTCGCTCACCCATCTGGGCTTGTCTGTCACTCCCATGCCAGGCTCTGGGTAGACTGGCATGAGTTCAAGCCCTGCTTTCTGCTCCCTGGCGGTATAACCCTAGAGAAGTGGCTTCACCTCTCTGAGGCTCAGCTTCCTCCTCTATGAAAAGGGTGACAGAGGTACAGATGGCACAGAGTTGTTACACAGAGCGGAGGATGGAGTGCTTGGCCCAGGGCCTGGCACATAGCATATGCTTAACACACGCTAGCCATCGTGACTGCTACTTGTTGAATGAATCAAGGAATTTGAAGTTTCATTATGGCCGACAGGGCTTCCCATATCCTAGACACCCTTTGGTGCTGGGGCAGTGGTCTGCTGGTCAACATTTAACAACCAGCACTGGGTAGGGTGGGGAGTCCTTATTGTACGTAGCCTTTGCCATTTCTGTGGTATAGACACTCCCACCGTGGCCAATTTTGTTACCAACATGAGGTCACTGACCGTGGACTTGGGAAGAGATGGACACACTCGCCTCTGCTGGGTCTTGGAGCCAATCCCCTCCCACCTGCCACTGTCTGGGGTCCAGAGTCAGTAGGACACTGTCCCTTTCCTCGAAGAGCTTTACAACTTACTGGGGACACAGCCACATGGGCGGGCCATTAGAATGTGTGGTGGTTAGTGCAGTGAGAGTTCTCCATCCAGGACGATGGAGCACGGGAAGTAGCACCAGCCTGGCCTGGGAGGATCTGGCAGGGCTTCCTGCAGGCGGCAGTTGGGGCTGAGGCTCTGAGGGAGCCCAGGAGTTATTCAGGTGGAGGTGGGCGAGGGCATGTTGGGGCTTGGGCACAGTATAAGGTGAGTACACGTGTGAGGGAGGTCCTCAGAGATGCTGGGGGTAGAAGAGAGTTCAAGGAAGGGGGTGCAGTGGGTGGAGGAAGAGCAGGGCCCGGTGGTGGCCAGAGCTTTCCCGAGGCCAGGGCGTTGGTGAGGGGTGTGTGCTGGTCTGTGTCCTGAGCTGCAGGATGCAGGTTCAGGCCATCATTCTGTGTGTCCTTTTTCCTTCAGACAATTCCCAGCGCGCTGCTCGTCCAGCTGATTCAGGAACGCCTGGCTGAAGAGGATTGCGTCAAGCGGGTAAGACTCCAGTGAGCTGGGGTTTTCAGTGCCAAGATAAAGGGGAGGGTGAAGGGCGTGTGTTCATCTCCAAGACCAGAGATGACCAGAGGCATGAGAGAAGGTAAGGCAGGCAAACGGGAGCTCCGTGAAGGTCAGTCTACAGACATGGATTTTGCTTTTGTCAAAGGAAAAGGAAGAGTGTGGAATTCGTTGTATCGGTCAAGGTTCCCGTAGGAAATAGCCAGCCCACCCAGAGGGGTCACAGGAAAGCATTTAATGACAGGACAGTCGCAGAAGCGTGGGAGGGTAAGGCAACCGGCGAGTGATGGCGAGGCGCCAGGGACTGGCATCAGCAGGAGACAGAATTAGGGGTACCCCAGACTCTCACCTCCCGTCCTTTGATCTCCTGCCAGATCCAGTGAAGCCAAAGGGTAGGAATCCAGGTGAGCAATACACTGAGGCCGGCCTCCCGGGGCACGAGGAGAGTGGAGAGGGCAGGGGAGGGCTCAGGAGGACAGCAGCGTAGCACCTGTCTACTGGGCACTGATGGGCACCACAGAAGGGCTTTGCACACCGACTCGTGTGTCCTCACAGGAACCCTATTGGGTCGCGTCATTACTTCTCTCTTTTTATTTTATTTTATTGTATATATGTACATATGTATGTTTGAGACAGGGTCTCACTCTGTCACCGAGGCTGGAGTGCAGTGGTGCGATCTCAGCTCACTGCAACCTCCGCTTCCCAGGTTCAAGCTATTCTCCTGCCTCATCCTCCTGAGTAGCTGGGATCACAGGCCTGTGCCACCATCCCCTGCTAATTTTTTGTATTTTTTAGTAGAGATGAGGTTTCACCGTGTTAGCCAGGATGGTCTTGATCTCCTGACCTCGTGATCCGCCCGCCTCGACCTCCTAAAGTGCTGGGATTACTGGCGTGAGCCACTGCGCCTGGCCTAAGTTTTATATTTTTAATAGAGACAGAATTTCACCATGTTGGCCAGGCTGGTCTGGAATTCCTGACCTCAAGTGATCCGCCCGCCTCGGCCTCCCAAAGTGCTGAGATTACAGGCATGAGCCACCATGCCCAGCCCCTGTTGTTTTTACTCTCTGTCAATCAGATGTGATAATTTGTATTGAACTATTGTCAGGGTCACTGAATCTTCCCTTTATTTTTTTATTCCACTATTGAGCTTGTCCTGTGAATTTTTTATTGCATCGATCCTTTCTGCCTTCTGTGTCTTTGCTGAGACTCTGTCTCTCCATGTGTTTACCAGTTGGAACTTTCTTGTAATAGTTGCTTTTGAGTCTTCATCCGCTAATTCCAGCATCTGAGTTATGGGGTGGTAACATCTGTATCTGCTCTCATGTGAGTAGAGATGTTCCTGGTTCTCCCTGCGCTAAGTAATTTTGAATCCTGGACATTTTAAATATTGTTATGAGGCTCTGGGTCTTGTTTAAATCCTATGGCAAATGTCATTTTTTTGCCTAAGGAGATGACTGATTCAGTTGGGTTCAGGTTGCATGTTCCAACCAGGCTTCTCAGGGTGTGGTTTCCATGTCAGTCCTGTGTTCAGCCCCTTTGCAGTGCCGTGCAGTGACTGACTGTGCAGCTCTGTGCTGCGCGCATATCACCCAGGGGCACCTGGGGACTTGGCAGTGAGCTGGTCACAGTTCACGTCTCAGTGTCTCTGAAATGCCGTTTAGGGTCAGGCCCACACGCGCACAGCTTGTGGGTGAGCCTTTGATCTCATCAAACGCTGTGTTTAGTTACTTCCCTGAGCTCCCCTCTCTGGCATCTCCCAGTAATTCCTAGTTCCCCGGTGCTCCTCTTTTTGGTATTTTGGCCAGGAAACTGAGGTTTTATTTATCCTGCTCTGCCACTCACTTCCTGAGACTGCACCCATGACCAGGGTCAAGTGGTGGGAGGACAAGAGAGGAAGGATTGACCGGGCTTTGCCCTGTTCTCTTGGGACTGGAGAAGGGTCCCCTCTTTCAGTGTTTCAGGTACCTGCAGGCCCCTTTGACACAGCCGTGCCACCACGGCCAACGCAGGACTGCCTGGAGGCAGGAGTGTGAGAAAACAGAGGAAAGAAAAACCCCACAGAGGCACCCCCACTCTGAGTGCTAGGAGCCCCTTTTCCCACTCCCCTCCCAGCTCACTCTTCTCCCATCTGCTGCCCACCTTCAGCCTTCAGGTTGCCTTAAGACCACGCCAGGAGATACTGGTTTGGTGGTATTTAGGATTCTAGTCTTTTCCCCCAACTTGCCTACTACTGGATAACTTTCTGAGTCCTTGAATAGCTGCCCCGTGTGTTTTATGCATGTATTACAGCTACTTTCACTGGGGGTGACAAGGGGGGTGGTGCACATTTCATGTCTCCCAGAATTGGAAATTGTGTCCTTTTAAAATATATATATATGCACATACAGACTCTCTCTCTCTCTCCATCTGTCTCTCACTTGAATGTATTAGGACCAGGCCGGGCATGGTGGCTCACGCCTGTAATCCCAGCACTTTGGGAGGCCAAGGCAGGAGGATTGCTTGAGGCCAGGAGTTCTAGACCAGCCTGGTCAACATAGCAAAACCCCGTCTCTACTAAAAATACAAAAAATTGGCTGGGCGTGGTGGCCCATGCCTGTAGTCCCAGTACTTTGGGAGGCCAAGGCGGGCGGATCACCTGAGGTCAGGAGTTCAAGACCAGCCTGGCCAACATGGCGAAACCCTGTCTCTACTAAAAATACAAAAATTAGCTGGGCATGGTAGTGGGCACCTGTAGTCCCAGCTACTTGAGAGGCTGAGGCAGGGACAATCGCTTGAACCCAGGAGGCAGAGGTTGCAGTGAGCCGAGATGGCACCATTGCAGTCCAGCCTGGGTGACAGAGCAAGACTCTGTCTCAAAAAAATAAATAAAAAATAAATAAATAAAAATTAGCTGGGCATGGTGGCACATGCCTGTAATCCCATTTACTTGGGAGGCTGAGGTGGGAGAATCGCTTTAACCCAGGAGGTGGAGGTTACAGTGAGCTGACATCATGCCACTGTGCTCCAGCCTGGGTGACAGAGTGAGACCCTGTCTCAAAAAAAAAAAAAAAAAGGTATTATGGTTGAATGCAGTGGTTCATGCCTGTAATCCCAGCACTTTGGGAGGCTGAGGCAGGAGGATCGCTTAAGCCCAGGAGTTCAAGACCAGCCTGGCCAATGTGGCAAAACCCTGTCTCTACTAAATACACAAAAAATTTGATGGGCATGTTGGCATGCACTGGTAATCCCAGCTACTTGGGAGGCTGAGGCAGGAGAATCGCTTGAGCCTGGGAGGAGGAGGTTGCAGTGAACCAACATGCATCTCGGCACTCCAGCCTGAGTGACAGAGCAAGACCCTGTCTCAAAAATATATATATATTGATTGGGAAGTCCCAAATCTGAAGCAGTACCCAGGAATCTTCCCAGCATGCTGGTGTTGGAGTAGCAGTTCTCACGAGCTTGTTCTGCATGGCCCTCAGCCATGGGATCTACATCACAAACACGCTGCAGGCCGGGCTGCAACGCTGACTCTGAACAGTGTGTTTACATCTGACCTCAAATTGTTCACTGTGAGTGGATGGTCTTCTGCCCAGGTGTAGGCAGATATCCAGAGCCCAGAGGCTGTTCTAAATCAGGGGTGGACACATGTTTTCTGAAAAGACTGGAGAGACACTCGTCGAGGCTTTGCAGGCTATACGGCCTCTATCACAACGACCAGCTCTGATGTAATACAAAGGCAGCCATACACAACACAGACACGAAAGGACATGGCTGTGCTTAGAAAGAATTTTATCTTAGAAGCAGGCCGTCCGATTTGGCCCGGGTGCTGTAGCTTGCCAACCCCTGTTCTAAGTAACACTTTCACATCGATCACAAAAACGTATCTGTCCTTTCTCTTGAGCTCTCAATAGGAAGCAAACTTCCAGCCGGGCGCGGTGGCTCACACCTGTAATCCCAGCACTTTGGGAGGCTGAGACAGGCAGATCATGAGGTCAGGAGATTGAGACCATCCTGGCTAACACGGTGAAACCTCGTCCCTACTAAAAATACAAAAAAACTAGCCAGGTACAGTGGCACGTGCCTGTAGTCCCAGCTACTCGGGAGGCTGAGGTAGGAGAATCGCTTGAACCTGGGAGCCAGATGTTCCAGTGAGCCAAGATCGCGCTACTGCACTCCAGCCTGAGCAACAGAGCAAGACTCCATCTCAAGAAAGAAAAAAAAAAAAGGCAAACTTCCACCTTCCAGGAGTGTTAGAAGAAAGGCCAGCTTCACCACAGACTTTGATTTTCACTAAGTTCCCTTCCAGTCACCCGACTTCCAAGCTCCGTGGCTTGATTCTGCATTTCCAGTTGAGTGCCCCCTGCAGGCCCTGAGTTGTTTTCACTGCTAGGACCCTTCCCCACACCCGAGACCCTCCTCCTCAGCACCCCCCACTTCTAGCAAGATGATGTTGCCTGCCTTGGGCTCACCATTTGCAATTGGACACAGAGTCAAACATGACCAAGGCAAGGCAGATGGTGAGAAGGGTTGTGATGGAAAAACCATGGCCAGGAGAGTCAAGTTATTCCTGAAGTCTCTAGTGAAGGGGACTGGAGTGGACTGTGGAGGGGCCGTCTTAGGCTGGAGGGAATGGCAGCCAAAGTGAGGCAGGGACCAGAAAACCCAGCCCTTTACTCCAACTTCACACTCTTAACTCGGAGTGTCCAACCTCACGGGAACTTTTCCTAAAACTGACCCATCGGTCGGTCACTATGTTTAAGGTTTCCCACCTCTTTTCTCTAGGACATGCCAAACAATCTTTTGGCAGAGAATTAAAGGGGAGGGAAAGATGGCCCGAGTGACTGGAAATGGGCCAGCATTTTCCCATACAAAATGCTGTGTGCCTTAATCCATTATTTCTTATGCATTTGCCAAGTTGGATTAGATTCTTGCATAGCAGATCACCAGGCTGGAAGCATTCAAGGGAGTCTTCCTTTCTTCTCTTCAGTCTTCTTTTTTTT